GTGATTAGCAGCCCAGTGCGTAACCAGTACACCACCACTAGGGGCTTCCTTACAAACAATTAAATGAACTTCAAAATCAGATTCTTCCTCATTTGACCCTCAGGTGCCTTGGGCTAGTCCAACAAGGGTCTTTGAGGGGCCCTGGAAGAAACCGCCCTGGGAGATCGCCTTTGGCATGGTAGTGAAATAGGTACCTGTATGTAGCCATTTCCCTTGGTTCTTGGGTAAAATTAATTTGAAAGACTTCTTTCCCTCAACTCTGAGGAGTTACCTTGTTTTCTACCCCAGGGTGGTGGTGCTGCCCTGTGTGTGTTACTGAATAACTGAGTAAATTTCCTGAGCAACTGACCATGCAAATGTGGTACATGAACCCTCGTGAGGGGATTGGTTAGTTTTGCTATTCACGTGGCTTATAGACTTCACAACCAATAAGAGCTGGGAGCAGAGAATGTCCTTTCGACCTGGGGCCCCTGCGCTGAGAACCTCCCAGACCCGTGAGACAAAGAGGTGTAACGCTGAAGAGGGTGAGAGGCAGAGCGAAGCAGCAGCAACCACCGCAGACCACAATGGCAGAAAGCAGCAACACCAGGACCAGGAAACCGTCACAAGACCATGCTGAGGGCTGAGGGCTCAGGGAGAAAGAAGAGCATGGCAGGCATGCCCAGAAACTTGATCCAAGTTACAGGCTGTTGATCCTGGTTTCACTGTGCCCTGCGGGTCATGATCCTGTGATAGCCTGTTATACGTCCATAGCAAACTCCTTCGCTGTGGGTAGGGTCTGTAAGTGCTGCATGGTCTCTGCAATACAACCTTGAGCCAGAAGAAAAGTAGGGAGTTCGTGGGAGAGACAGCTGTGGCCAGAAATGGTAAAGCAGTTGGATGGTGAAGGGATGTTTGACATCCAGTGGGTAAGAGATCAAGCTTCGGTTGATTTCTATGGTGATTGTTCTCACGTACCCCTGAAGTCTGAAGGGGCTGGAAGGCACGTGCGATTCTTATAGTGCTGTTAGCCAGTCCCATTTCTACACGCGTCTATGAGAATGCCGCTCAGACAGCAAAGAAACGCAATCAGACAAAAGTCTCATAAAAAACGGAAGTTCCCCCCACGGACCTGATCTTTTGCCTCAACAATTTAAATTATAACATTTAAATTACAACAACGCTCTTGGGGTGGCCAGAGAAATATGAAATGCAAGTTAACATCTAATGTAACCCAGAGAATCCCCGGTCACATGCGAGGCTCACTGATTCAATGTCAATTCCCCGATCGATCGATTCTTTATCCGACTGACGTTGGAGTCAGAGTCAAAGGTCACGTTCCTCCAGATGCCACTTTCCCAATGTAAACTTTTCGGATGAACCACAGTGACAGTTAGCAGCTCTCTACAAACCCATGAGAAGAACAAGGAGCCGAAAAGACAAAGTCACCTGGGCCACGGTCATCTTCGTTGGCTCCTGGGGCATTGCCGACAGGGGTGGCTCTGCCTTTGCTGCTTCTGGTTCAGCTCTGATGTCTATTCATAAATTTCAGTCTCCCGAAACGACAACACCGAAATCCTGCAACCTCTTGCTCCGGTCTTCCAAGTAATTACTTCTCTTGCTGCTGGAGAGTCAGGACCTGGAGGCTGCAAGGAAGAAAGAAAATCAATGTGAGTGGTACATTTCCTCTGGACGTCGATGCTCCTGAGACCCTCCTGAAGACAAGGCTCCCACTGCTGTTAAATGTCTTCATTTGGTGACTTGGAACACATGGCAAACCTGGGCAATAAAATATACTATATTCAAATACAGGGGTAACAGAGGTCTTCCTCCAAAACAGTGCTTGCACCATCATGTACAGAGGAGAACGATAAAAGGAGGAGGAAGTTTTGTCCCTACCTCCCAATATACACAACTCGCAGGCTATGGTCAAGTGTGACTCTCCGTAAGAAGGATACATTAATGAAGCTTTAAGAATGCTAATCCCATAAACAATATCTGCCTGGTCCTGTCTGATGTAGAAGTCAGGGTCAGAGATAACTTTTCTCCCAGATCCTACTTTCCCAATTTGTGCTTTTCAGATGAATCGAACTGAGACTGAACAGGTCTTTGCAAATGCATTAGAAAAGTCACCTGGGAATCCAGGGCGGATGAGCCCTATAGGACCAGTGGTGTGAGTGGCAAAACAGGGAGGGTGGAGGGAGAGTGGGTAGGAAAGAGGGAACCAATTGCATGGAACTGTGTGTGGCCTCCTCCCTGGGGGACGGACAACCGAAAAGTGGATGAAGGGAGACGTCGGACAGGGCAAGATATGACAAAATACCCATTTGTAAACTATCAAGGGCTCATGCGGGAGGGGGGAGCGGGGAGGGAGGGGAAAAATGAGGACCTAATGTCGGGGGTTTAAATGGAGAGAAAATGTTTTGAGAAACGATGTACAAATGCGCTTTACACAATTGATGTGTGTATGGATTGAGATAACAGTTGTATGAGCCCCTAATAAAATGTTGAAAAAAAAAAAAAAGAAAGTAAAGAGATGAGAAAAAAAAAAAAAAAAAAAAGAAAAGTCACCTGAGCCACGGTCATTTTCGTTTGCTTTTACATTACATTCTGGAAATAGATTTTAAACAGACCACATGAAACATTAACGATAAACTGATGACTGAGTCTGCTGTAGGAACTAAAAGTGTACAGCCATTTTAGAAATCAGGTATGCATCATCTCGCAGGTTGAAATTAAAAATTCTGAAATAAAAATGTAAGTCTGAGATACACATGCCCCCATCAGAAGTGTACATTTGAAACATAAGACATGTATCAGGGTTTTCAAAGCCACGTTCATGTATTAACCCAATAGAGTGTGGCCAATCAGCACGAAGAAAAGACAGAAGCAGAGTATGAGCTTTGAACTTGAGGTCCCTGAGCTGAGAACCTCAGACCCTGGAGACAAAAGGAGGAACATGAACACCAGCACGGCGTAACATGGTGAGAAGCCGTGGCCAGGAAACAGCGGCAACAGCATCAGGAGACGTGTGTGAAACGTAACAGGAACCAGCCCGAGGAGCAAGCGAGCCTCCGGACACCTATTAGTGGAGCTAAAGAGCTTTGTAACACTTGCCTAAACAGGGCAGGGGTCAGGGCAGATGCTCACGGTCAGAGGGGTAAAGGGCCATCTGCACAAGGAGCAGACAAAAACCTGATTGCAGGCATGGCCCCAAATCTGTCCTAAGAAAGAACATTCCAGATTCTGAACTATAACCGAGGACTTCCCTCATAAACCCAATAATCATGAGTATTGTCTGTGAGTTCTACAAGTCCCTGTTAATTGTGGGAGCTTTCTCTGCTGACCCAGAGAGATAGGGCTAAGTGCGTGTGGCTCAGGCTTACGGAGGAGTGGAGAGCCCGTTGGGTATTTATTGGCATAGTTAAAGGAGCTTTGTAAAGTTGCCTGAGCAGGGTAGAGGCCAAAGGGCTGTATGGCTGGCAGGCTGAAGACCAGAGAAAGGCATGCTTGTGGGCGGGGCTGAGAAAAGGCAATCCTGATCTAGTAACTGTATCCTGAGCATTTCTGATCCTGAATTATAACCTGTGGACTTCCCTAAGAAACCCCATAATCATGAGCATTGACTAGGAGTTCTGTGTAGCCATGGCAACAAATTATAAACCCAGTAGAGAAGTAAAGAGTGCCTTAGAACAGACAGTGAGTGTCAGAATTGGTCAAGAAATGGAGAGAATGGAGACGTGGTTTTTCTGACCTCCAATCCTAAAAATCAACCTTGGGCTGCTGCTGTTTAACTTTCCTTCCTTAATAAGTCAGAAGAGGTCAGTCGCTGCCCCCATGCCATTTTCACATCTACCTCACAGGAATCAGCCTTAGACTATTGGTTTTTATTCTTTTCTCCCACTGTGATGTTAAACAAAGACGCCGGTCACTCTGATGCTACACCATTTTTACACCTGAACTGCCAGCAACAAAAATGTGTATTAATCATTAGAAAAAGCTATTATACTCAAACAATGGAATGATACAGAGCAAGTCTTTCTGACCAGCCTAGAATACTTTGTACATTAATGTACACAAGTTAAGCATTGTTGAAAACAGAATGAAGGTAAGAAATTTTATGTCCAAGCCCTTATTTGGCCTACAAACCCTAAAATATTTGCTATGTAATGTAACCATTCACAGACTAAACTTCCCAACTCCTGCGGCAAAGTAACTACACCTGCATGTAGCAACATGAATGACTCAACTATATTGATGGAACCAATCTTTTACACAGTGGAAAATAGACAAAACGAAATCAAATAGTATTAGGAATAATTAACTACATGGTAAAACTTACTATAACTGGTTAAATGCTGTGAAAACTCTTATTTCTTGCCTAGTCAACCCCCCCACCTCCCAAAATAAATTAAATAAACTCATTGCCATCAAGTTGAATACAACTCACAGTGATCCCATATAGGTTTTCATGACTATAAATCTTTAGGTTTCCAGCCCCATGCCTAATCTACTGTACCAACAGGGCTCCCTTTTTGCCTGGTGCAGTGGTAAATTATACATATATTGCTTCTATACTAGTTTAAGTCTACATTTTTAAAAGGAAGATTAATTTAGAAAAAAAATAATAAGAAAGGGGAATGATGGGAATCCAAAAATACCAAATCAAAGTGAAGTGCCTGACAGATCAAAAGTTCATTCATGGCTAAGACCAAGAAAGCAAACATCCTTAATGAGACGGATGAAGAGAAAGACGGGACACACAAAAAGAATATAAGGAATTAATAGTGGGGAAAACAAAGACCCATATAAAACCGGCATCTTGTAGTAAAACACTGTGTTAGTCTGGGTAGACTAGAGAAACAAATCCATGGACACACATGTGTAAAAGAAAGAGATTTATATACAAGAGTAATTGAACATGGAGAAAACATCCCAGCCTGGTCCAGATCAAGTCCATAAGTCCGATATTAGCCTATATTTCCGATATCAATCTATAAAGTCCTC